GAGTCGTAGATTATGTGCGTAAACATGAAAAGTAAAAACGCTATTTTCAATGTAATTAAAGTTTAAGCGTTTTACAAAATAAAGATAATACATAATTACATAATATTCAAAATTACGCAAAGTAAATAATTTTATTTTAAAAGTAAAAAAAAAATTATGGAACGTTTATTAAATTATTAAGTATAAAAGTTTTAAATCATTCTTATTCCCTCTTTTTATTTTTATTTTTTTAATATATATAAAATCAAAATGTTGATCTGACAAGAATTAGAAATTCATTAAAAATTAAATTTTTATATGCGGCGAAACTTCTCCAAACGAACTCATGTAAATAACTATCGAATAGAGCTTCACTTGCACCATGTCGTCTACGAAGCTTTTTTTTTTTTGCTCATACCCATACGATTTTAGTAATCTGAGTGTGGACATCAGGGTTATTAGGACTAACAATATTTTCCTGGTGCACTACAACTTCGTGTGTATATGTTATCATTCCGTGCATCTATCCTTGCGTACGATGCCCATCTGGAATTGTATGCGAACCAGGCAAAATCCATCTTTCAATTGCAGCTTGAAGTGTTTCAACTGTTCTACCAGGCACTCCAACTAGAAAGCATTTTCCGGATCCGCGCTCAATTCCACCGAATATCCAATGACCTTATCGCCAGTGCCTAAGATGATACTTTCTGTGATTAAATATTGATTCGTCAATTTCTACTACAATTGGTTGGCCGGTAACGTCTACACCACCTACTTCACATGGATTTTCTTCCAGCCACTGTTCACAAACTTATCTACCAAAATTTTACCTATCATTTGTAGTGTATTTGTAATCTACAACTGCTTCCCGTGGAATATCTTCTTGTGGAAAATCGACAGCAAACCCGCATATTATTACTATGATTTTATACATTAAATTATGCTAAATAATTTTTTGCGTTGTTAGCAATACCATGTTTTCCCATCTAATACTTAACTTCGGTTTATTAGTCCACATTGCTCATTACAAGTTATGCATAAAAATGAATTACATTTAAGGCGTTTGCAGACATACCAATTAATTAATGGATTTTCATCCGATAAAAGACGAGTTAATATTGTAAGATTGTACCTCGAATACAAAATCATTCGGAATAACCATGGAAGTATAAAACAGATGGAAGTTCATCGAGCCGCAAGCATCAAAGCAATTTCAAGTCGTCTCGGGAGCATGCTTGTAACCGACAATTAAAAAAAAAAACAAGTTTTACTGGATAAAAAAACACCTAAATTTACTGAAATGATCTTTATTAAAACATTAAAAAATGAATTATTCTAGGGATATGTTGCAAATTTTTAACTATTAGTATTTGCAAATATTCAACAAAAGGTTTATTAAAACTCGGTAATTAAATAGAACCACTTGATTTTAAAAGCATATGTTAGTTTAAGCTTCTTTTCTTGCTTCAAGTCATAACACGACCTTTGATAAAAAAGACAGCTAAAACAATTTTTAAAAAATTAAAAAAATTGTTTTCTAAGTAACTAAAGTTTAAAGTTTTATTAGCTGTATATGAAAACTCCATTCATTCTTGTAGTACTCCATTCATTTAATATAGAGTTTATAAAAAAGTTGTTATTTGCCTTTACTTTGCGCCATTATCAAGGTTTTTCTTGAATATTATTGGCGAACCTTCAAAATACTATATTTCTAAGTTATTATAAACTTATCTATTTGCGTAAACGTACAAAGATTCAGCGTTTAAGTACAGTCTTGATGTCGTTTTCTTATTGTTTACGATACAAAAGGTTCCAAGCATAGTCCCGAAGAATTTCAATGCGGTTGAACTTCCATATGTTTTATACTTTCATACTTCCATGGTATAATCAACTCATTATTTGGAACAATAAAACAAGATGCTTACGGTCTTGCCATTTTACAATTAATAATATAAAATGCTATAAAATCGTGAAATTTGAAATATTTTAATTAATTTAACAATTTTAAACTTCTTAATCTAAACTCTTCAATACTTTTATTTATAATTCAAAGTTATTAAAATGAAGTTTTAAACAAAAATTATTTAAAAAATAAAAAGGTCTTATTTATGCAAATTCTTTTGTGCAAAAACATTTTAAAAGCAAAAGAACTTTTTAAATGCAAAAGAAAACATAAGAACTTGTTAGAAAGCAGTACGTGAGTACCGTTTTTTACTTTTTTAGTTTACGCGCATAATGTACGACTCAACCCCATATACAGATAAATATATGTATGTATATATATATATATATATATATATATATATATATATATATATATATATATATATAGTATATATATATATATATATATATATATATATATATATATATATATATATATATATATATATATATATATATATATATATATACATATTTATATATGTATATACAGGTACGCGCACTGAAATTTTGAAATTGATAATGTAGTAGAATGTTATATATCATTAGAAAGGCCTTTAATACAGTATTTTAAAGGTGAAAAAATTATTAAAAACGAACAATTTAAAAAAAAGTTGTAACATTTTTAGTACCAAATTTAAGATACATGGAATTGTTGAAGAAACTGTGGTCAAAATAATTATTTTTTTCACAAAAATTGTTATAACTTTGTCAATTTTTATCCAAATACCTATATCTTGGTATCAAAAGATAGGTGTACTAATGGGCTACAAGTTCATATAGGTGCCTGGATATAGGGTGTATTTTGGAAGCCAGAGGGGGTAATAAAACACCATCTAACCCTTAAGAAAATACAAGTTTTTGTCAGAAACAAGCACTTTTTTAATGTAATTATTATATTTTATATACAAAATGTTGCCATAACTTGATTCCAGAACACTGCCAAACAAAATAAGGTGACCTTAGAGCTGGCCATAGATGTGGTTGTGATGTTATAACACCCTAATACAATAATCATACATTCTAATAAATAATTTAATCTTTATTACAGTAATTAAATAACTTGTTAAAAAGTAAAAATACTTTTTTTTACTATAAAACATACATTAGTGAGGTACACACTAACTTTAGGGTAGGGCGTATGTCGCACCGCCCCCCTCCCTGCACCCTGACTCATAACAAAAAATAAAAATAATTTTATTTTTTTTATAATAATTTAATGTATTGCTAAAAATTAAAAATAATCTTTTATTACTATTCAACATATATAATTGATGTACACATTGATTTTAGATGTAGGGAATATGACGCACCACCTCCCCTCCCCCCCTAATAAAAAATTACATCATCTTCATTTCAATAATCAAATGTATTGTTAAAAAAAGAAAAATTAATTACTTATAACTGTACAACATACATTAGTATTGAAAATATTGTTGTATTACATAAACCAATGTTTATATATTATTATTATTGTGTGTTCTACTAAAGAACATACATTAGTTTTTTACAATATGAGGAAAGGGATGGTTTTCCCCCTTCCCCTCAACCAATGTAAAAAAGAAAACACATAGAAATGATATTTTCAACATTTTCACATGCAATTCACACCCTGTAAATACCCATGATAACATCACCCGAAAGGACCGAACAAATCCTTTTAGGTGGGCATTGTATAGACCTTGTGTGAACATTTAGAGCCATTTTTGAAATCTTTTAACTACGTCCGAGCCATTTTTTTCATTTTAAAGTTATATTGTGAAAATAACCAAAAATCCAATATTTTCCAAAAAAATAAACTGCTTAAACTCATAATTTACAGTGATTTTTTAAGCTGTTGGTATTTAGAGATCACTATACAATAACTTTAAATCATTTCAAACATTCAAAATTTTGTCAGAGCCATTTTTCTTATTTTAAAGCTCTATTGTAAAATAATCACAAAGTGTAAAATTCAATATAGTATATTTTCACAATCATCTTCATCTGAACAATATTTATGATAAAAAATAAACAGATTCTTACATATTGCAAGTTAGAGACTAGAACTAAAAGCTTTCTTTATAAAATACAAAAGTTCAAAAACAGTGTTTTAATTTCTTAAAAAAAATTTTAAAATGTGCAATTTCTGATTTTTTATTCCAAGACTTATATTTCTGAAAAAAGTTGAGTTTGGAGGTGTTGTTTGTTACAGATGCTTGCTGTTATAGTCAACAACACAATTGAAGAGTTGTTTCCCATAACCTGGATGAGTTGGGATGCGCTTGTACCGCTCCCAATGAAACTTGAACCTTGAATGCATTGCTTCGGTTGCTTGCTCGCTGAAGATTCCGAGGGAGGTTTGATGTTTTTCTACAAATTCTGAAACATGGTAGAAAACAGCATGTACCTTAGGAGTCACGGAGATTGGCAAAAATAGGAAAGAAGTTTTAAACTTCCAAATCTTTTCTTTATAGTCTTCCTGCAGAGTTGTTCCAAAGCATGAAGTAACAACTTCTTTGAAATTTCTGAGAGTTTCAATGAAACCAAATGCTTGATAGGCACAAGCTTTTTCTGCCAGCATTTGGAGAATGTCAAGGATTTGCAAAAGCTTATGACATTCATTGCCAGCAAAGTGTCCGCCATGGTATGGCTGGAGCTGAATGTGCAACAAAGTTGGCCATTCTTTGGCACCAGGCCATAAATCAGAAAGATTCTTGTAAAGATGATTGACAATTCCAAGAAGTAAATGGAGTTCCATTGGTGGAATCACATCCAAAATGAGTGTTGAGTCATCCATGCTAATCAGTGGTGGATGGATAACATTGTCAAAATCTTTTGCTGATTTCGTATCTGATCCAGCTGCAACAAAGGCTTCAAATTTTTCCTTCATTGATCCAAAACTTCTGGAAGTTCCACATTCTGACAGATTGTCAGAATCAATGTTGCACCAGCAACAAGGGTGTTTGCTTGAATGGGATTGAACTCCACAAATGATGTTGGCCATTTTGAGATCGCATGAAATGCAGAATGAAACATCATTTAATTGAATGATGTTCATCATCACTTTAACGTTCTCGTATGTTTCAGAAACATTTTCAGCGATGGCAACTATGAGTTGACGCTTGACACCTGTGTCTGGCAGTTGAGCTTGTCAGCAAGCGGAGACTTTTTGGTTGAGGACTTCTTGTTTCGTCATCTTCATCAGTTACCTTGATAACTGATAAGCTCATTTTCAAGAATGATCCTCCTCCATCAATGCCAAGCTTGACAAAATGATTGTAGCCGTATTCCCTTGACAGCAGCACCTTGTTGGTTAAGTCCTCAAGATTTTTGCAGTGAACGATTGCTTTCTTCTCTTCAGTTTTTCCTTTTTCTGCTGAAATGTCAACAACTGAGAGTTGAAAAAAATTGTTCAACGACTTTCCTACAGCAGCAAACTTTTGCTGAAAAATGGCTCAACAAGTCGAGTTTCTGTTGATTTGTTAAGTGTTGAAGCAAGTGTCGCATTCCTGTATTGGATAGTCCTGTGTTCAACTGAACATTTAACAAGCTTTGCATTGTAAGTGTTGAACTGGTTGATTTGTGTGCAGATGCTGGGCCTAAAAAGCAAATGAGATAAATTTAACAACTTATTATGATAACTTGTAAATGGTTACAACAACAACAGTTATGAAAAAAAGTAATTCACACTGAAGTTCAATATTACCTGGTGTTAATGGAAATAACTGCCCTCCTCTTGCTTGACTAAGGCGAACAGTTCCTCCCGGAGATGCATCTTTTGAACTGATGATGGCTGATGCAATTTGCTCAGCACCAACAGGATCTGACTGGACCAATGCTTGCAAGTTTTGGTGTCTTGTTCCGATAGTGCATGAGTGTCTGAAACCTCTTGCAAGAATGGACAAACACTGTGTGCATCTTTTTTCTGATGACTTTAAGCGAGAATTTGGTGAAGGGCCAGGCTTGGAAGATTCACCTTGGTCAAGGTTTCTGGTCTGTTCTTTTGGTGCCAAGGGATGTTTCTGGTTGAGCTTGAGCTTTGCTATCTGGAAAATGAGGCAGTCACATGGACCTGATGTTCGTGTCAAAGGCTTGACAACAACTGCAGAGAAGTTGTAGATTGCCGGAAGTGAAACACTCATGTCCCCAGCATCTCTTTTTTGCAAGAGAGTTCGGCAAGTGTTGCAAATTGCCTGTGGGACCCTTTCATCTTCAAAGTCAATGTCCGTTTTCAACAATTTGTGAATTCTTCCAATGATAAAGTCAGTTAACTCTCGGTCTCCTTTCCTCATGCAAAGAAAACAAACAGACTTCCTGCAGTCTTCATGATTTTTTGCTTTATTTGGCATTTTAGAAGCTTTATGTCTCCATTTAAAAAAATGTTCTGCATGCAGCAAGGAAAAATAGTTATAAATGTTTTTTTATTTCATAAATTTCATGATAATCTTTTTGTGTACACAATCGATTAAACAGCAAAGAGTAAAGTACACAATAAGATTAATCTTATTGTGTACTTTACTCTTACTCTGTTTTACTTTTTACACTTACTCGGTTTTACTTTTTACACTTACTCTGTTTTACTTTTTACACTTACTCTGTTTTACTTTTTACACTTACTCTGTTTTACTTTTTACACTTACTCTGTTTTACTTTTTAATTACAAAGTAATATAATTCTATTGAAATTCATTTTTTTTTAAATTTCCAATAATTATTTGACATTTTGAATGTTTGAAATGCCTTAAAGTTATTGTTTAATGATCTCCTAATACCAACAGCTTAAATATACAAGTCACTGTAAATTATGAGTTTAAGCTGTTTTTCTTTGGAAAATATTGGATTTTTGGTTATTTTCACTTGATCACTATATAACATGATCACTATATACTATCACTATATAACATGATCACTATATAACTTGATCACTATATAACATGAACTTTGAAATTTTCCCTATATAAAATGAAAGAAATGGCTCGGACGTAGTTAAAAGATTTCAAAAATGGCTCTAAATGTTCACACAAGGTCTATATAATGCCCACCTAAAAGGATTTGTTCGGTCCTTTCGGGTGATGTTATCATGGGTATTTACAGGGTGTGAATTATTAAATAACAAAGAATTGTTTTACCAGATTACAAGTTGCACGAGTATACATTTTCTCATTTAAATGATCATATTTAGCCCACCAACCTGAAAAAAAAAAAAAAAAAAAGTTTTGAAACATAATATTAATTTATGTCTTGGCTTTTAGTAAATGATTTTAGTTTTAAGTTCCAATGCAATTAAATAAATCATTTTTAATAATAGACACCACGTAAAGGTAAGCCAGAGCCGTCTATCTATTTTTAAAACTTGCTGCACCTATTTGCAAGCCACAAAACATGCGGTACTTCTTTGCAAGCCACAAAACTTGTGGTACACATTTGCAAGCCACAAAACTTGCTGTACCTATTCGCAAGCCACAAAACTTGTTGTACCTATTTGCAAGCCACAAAACTTGCGATACTTATTTGCAAGCCATAAAACTTGACATATTTAATTATTATACTAATTATGTTAAAATATTAGTTATCATTATATATAAATTTTTTGTTTACTACTTTTTTTTGTTTTTATTTATTTAATTTTTTTCTAATTAATACTTTAAATTATTATTGTAGTTATTGTTTATTTATTTTTTACTTATAACTATTCAGATTATTTTAAAATAACTATTAAACAAAAAATAGCTAGTTGATATTGTTGTTATTATTTCATTGAAATTAGGAAAATACTAATTCACCTGATATAACATCAGCAGCTAGCTGTATTTTTCTCATCTTATGTTCCACAGCTTCAATATCAGTTTCATCTTGTTTCCAGTAAGAAATAGTGAAAATTCTGTCATGTAGTCTCTTGTTTACCTTTTCAACTCTACCATCATAAATGACAGATTTAGCAAAGTCAGCATCATACCACTCGTGATCGAGTGTTCTGCCAACAATTCTTTCTGACATAACATCGTCTAAATCTTCGAGTTGCTTTGCAGATAAGTGTTTATATTTATGCATCATTTCACCGAGACTTAATATGGACAGCTCACGCTCTAGCTTTTTTTTTTTTTTTTCATCCATTTTCTGTCGCTTGAATGACAGTTTATTAGTAATTTCTGATCGAATTTCATGACGTTTTAGTCGAGTTATAATTCTTTTTTTCGTGCCATGTAAATAGACCACTTTACTACCTTTTCTCTAGATGACTTTTCAAGATTATCTAAATAATCTATAGTCTATCCCAGCCAACATTGACAGACGGGTACCGTATGGTTATTGTCTGGGCTTACGGGAACGGGATTTTGACGGGTAAGTATTTTGGTTTCCAGACGGGTCCCACATGGTAATCAAGCATATGCTTGATACACGAGCAAATATATATTTGCTCGTTAGGGTTTTATCTGATTTTTATCAGGGCCGAATAACCTGGGGATTTGACGGGTTTCCCATAAGGTTCCCAAAAGGTTTAAAAAAAATCATAACAAAACTTACTCGACGGTTGCCAGTTTTAATTCGTATTGTGCGTGAAATAAGATTAAAAATTTAACTTTTATGCATTACATTTTTTAAATACATTATATTTACATTGTAATTACAAAGAATTTTTTTTTTGATGTGTTTTGTCACTGTAAAACTCAGTTAAAAAGACGTTGTTTTAAAATTTCATTTATATATTATCATTATAAAAGAATTTTATATATACATATATATACATATATACTATTTTTTAAATGAATTTACAAAGTTCAACATATTTGTTGAACATATGTTCCAGAAACTATTAAACATGTAGTAAATGTTCCATTGAGACACTGTTTGCATTTTTAAAATGATCAAAATATAAAGTTTTGTTTCTGCTAGTCACTAGCAGAAACAAAACTTTATATTTTGATCATTTTTAAAATGCAAACAGTGCAAACTAGCAGCTAGTAATATAATTAGATAATAAATGGTTTGAGTTTAATCAAAATATTAGTTTAGTCAGAAACATTTAAAAAGGGCAAACAGGCGAACAGAATGTAATGGATAGGTTATATTTAGGGAATTAAAAGCTTTTAAATCGTTTTTACAGATCCACTCTTTTCCATTAATTTTTCTATATTTTATGCAAGCAAAATGACTGATGTTAACGAAGTTTACCCACCGTCAGATATAAATAAAGATATAATTAGATGTTTAAATGCAAAATCATGGCTTTATTGTTATGCATCAACCTCATTTTTTAATCATTGATATTTTTTGATTTTGATTTAAAATTGTACTCTTGCAATATAAACAATAATTTCATAATATACATAATAATAACTTTTACTTACAATACCTTTACTTGTAAATACTTGTAATATAATACTAATGTTTATAATACTAATAAAAATTTTTATTGATATGAACTTTTGTATTCAAACTTTAGTTATAAAACTTTAATTTAACTTGATAACTTTAACATAAATAACAATAACTAAAAAAAGATGTTAGTTATTATATAGATTATAACCATATGCTTATTTATTATAATTGAGTTACAGTAAGTTAAACAATATAAAATGCTAAGTTCCAGGCAATAGGTCTTATATGATATGTATCTTATGTATATCTTGTATTTTGCAGCATGTTAAAGAATATTTCTGCATGGTGCACTCTGACTGTTGACAATATTTGCATATTGATATGAGTAAATATGAGTACTTCAACAACCAGAATGTGTTTTTGATAAATATTAATAACAGGTTAGTAAATATAATTATAGTAATAATGGCAATAACTTTTTATTATTAGAATTAGTGAGAGACTTATGTATAATAGAGCTACATTAACTTTGGGGGACAAATATAATAACTTGAGTAAATATTACCGTTGTTTATAACCTCGATTAGAGTAATGTAAGTAAATATTATTTTTATCTAAAGAATATTCGGCAAAAGTCAGTATTTTCTAAGTATTAAATATTATAAAAAAACATGTGTTTAAAAAAAAAATTTTAAATGTATCATAAAATAAAAAAATAAGTATTTGAGTATTAAAAAAAACACATTTATTGTTATAATGTATAAACATCACATTAACTATGTTGTCTATAAAGTAGGGGTTGCAGCTGATATTTCAGCTTCAGCTATAAACTCATAAGCTTCAGATTAATACTGATGCTGATCAAGTCAGCTTAATCATCTTGATAGCTGATAGTAAAAGAGAATAATACTCCATAAATATTTTATATAAGATATATTTTTATATAGGAATTTATTCAATGAAAATCTAAAATAGTGACAAAATTTAAGCATACATGTAATTTTAAATAAAATTTGCCAAAAGTTGATGCTATTTACAAATGTTGCCATCAGAGCCTAGGCCTAGGACTTACAAAATTAGGGGACCCGAATTATGTTTTTAGAAATTTGTTTAAAAAGTGGTGCCCAAAAATCTAATTCCATTTTTTATTATCTTAAGGGGACCAACTATCTTTTGTTCAAAAAGAGTACACTTTGCAAGTATTTCATAGGTAAAAAAAAGGAAGATAAAACGATAAAAATCTTAATTTTTTTTTAAAAACATATTTTTCGTTAGAGTGGATTTTTTTTGCCAGATGAGGATGTTCGTCTAATAATGTAGCTGCATCCGAACATATTAAATTTCATATTAAATTTGACTGTTAAGACGGCGTTTAATGTTTTTTCAGAAAGTTGCAACTTCTCACTGCTCCAATAATCATTACTTAGTGAAAATACCTTTTCATCAGCAGCATTAGTGCCTGGACATCATAAAGAAATATCTGTTAAAACTTTTAAATTTTTATGTGGGATATGTTCTACTCTAAAATGCCAAAATATTTCTACCCATCTTTTTTCAAGTTTTATTTTCTCATTGTTCCATTTCTTCAATTTTTTTTTCTTTCAATTTCTTCAATTTTTCTTCATTTAAAAATAAATTTACTCTTCCAATTTCTTCAAAAAGAAAATTGTCATTAATAACAATATCTTTTACTTCCTTTATTACAAATTCGACTGCTGAAGAAACTTTTTTTCCATTAAATTTTACTATTTATTAGGGTCCATTTAAAACGATTCAATGCTCTTAAGTTCATTATCCATTCTTCGATATATTCAAAGCAAATTTTATAAAAATTTTTAACTTCTATTAAATTTTTTTTTTTTTTTTTCCGGGATTGAAATCTTCCAAAGCGGTCAGTTTATAGGCTTTAATATAGCCTTTAATATTGTATATAGTAGTGTATGTATATATTTTTCAATTTAAATTTGCCTTTAATTTGTTTTTTATATTTTTCTGGAAAAAATTTTTTCTGTCACTTTATCCTTTTGAACTTATGTGATTAAGTTTTTGTTTTCTCTTACATATTTTCTCACTCATCTTATCTCATCCGTTCATTTTCTCTTTTTTTTTTCATTTCTCTTAGCGTTACTCTTTTATATTTTTGTGTAAATTCCAACTTTTTAAATAGTATTGTTCCTTATACTTCTTTTTTTATTACTTGCATTAATGTAGTTTTCTTTCTTATTATTTTTTATTTTGTTTATTTTATGAAGGTGTTGCTCCATTGACTTGTTTTTAATATGAGTGACACCGAATATAAATTTGTAAATTATAATTAAGTTTGTAATTTTTGATTTTATGATTAATTAACCATAAGCGCACGTGTAGTATGTACAGTAAGGTTTTTGCTATCCTTTTATTTTATTTTATTTTATTTATAATTAAATAAATGGATAAAAAACTTTGCTGTACATACTACGCATGTGTCAAGACTGTCAAGCATTGCGTACATACTGCACATCAAAGATCAGCCTGGAGGTTACATATGCAAATGTTGGATCCATCTCTTTTCACAAATTTTGACATTGTTAGAAAAAGAGGTCTGTAGTATCTATCTATCTCTCCAGGTTCATAATACGGCCTCTCAATTGTGTTGAAAATGGCAGCCATATGTGCGTTCAAAATTTAAATCACTGTCAAACTTGTATCTGGTGTTTGCCCTGTCCTCTGACATGCTGGAAACGGCAAGCAATATGTGCGCATGAAATTCAAATCACTGTCAAAATAATTTTAAATATTTAATTAATAAAATTGAAAGAAAATAATATTAAAAAAATGTTTTAGAAATACAAATGAGTACAAAATTATACAAATGAGTACTTTCAGAGTACGGGATTTGAAAAAAGTACGATTTGTGAAAAAAGAGTAAAAAAACTCAGTAAATGAGAATAGCTGGTCACCTTAATTGTCTACATAATTTTTTGGTAGATTTCAAAGTTCTTGCAAAAGATGGTTTTATCTTTGAAAATATTGAGTTTAAAATCAAACTTGCTGTTATCATATGTGATGCACCAGCTAGAGCATTTGTAAAGTGTATTAAAGGACACAATGGTTATAACTGATGTGAATGTTGTGCTTAGAAAGGAGAGTGGTGTGGCAAGATAATTCTCCTACATATTTCACTAATTTTAAGCACTGATTCAGACTTTTTGTCATTAAAAGCATTCTGAACATCTTAGTGGTGTGTTAAATTGAATTAAATTTTGACATGGTGACAAAGTTTTCTTTAGACTTAATGCATCTAGTATGCTTAGGGGTAATGCGAAGATTTCTCAACTTATGGTTAAATTGCCCAAATGTTGTAAATTGTCTCAGATTACAGTCAATACTTTATCTGGCAGATTGTTCCAGATACGTCAATACATTCCAAGAAATTTTTCTAGAAAATCAAGGTCTTAATTAGATATCAAAAAATGGAAAACAATTGAGCTTAGACTATTTATAATATAGACTGGACCAGTTGTTTAAAGGGAATGGTTTAGCAAAAAATCTATTCAATTTTTTAGATTTTTCAGTTGTAGTTCTACTTTCATAATGTTTCATTTTGTTGAAAAAATATGTTAATTTTGCTTTTCAGCTACTTATTTTTATATGTGAACTTTATCGTAAGGATCAACTAGTGTACAATGTCCATTCATTAGCTCATATAGAAAATAATACAGTTAAATTTTAGGTACTTGATAGATGTCCCTCTTTCAAATACAAAACTTTTTCAGGTCAATTAAAAAATGTTTGTCTAGAGGACCCTTTTACAAATGTAAGGATTTTTTTTTTTTTTCAGTATTTTTATTTAGATTTTGTTTATCTATTAGAAAAGTTTTTAGGAATTTTGGGGCCCTA